GACTAAAAAAAAGTTCATCCTGTAAGATTCCATATATGTAAAATTCCAGGAAATGCAAACTAATCTACATTAACAGGAAGCGGGTCAGTGTTTGCCTGGGGATGAAGTGGTAAGTGAGGGATTCCAGAAGGGCTGGAGCAAACAGGGGTGGTGGATGTGTTCTTTAGACCATGGTGAGTTTCATGGGTGAACATGTACGTCAAAACTTACCAAATTTTATACTTTAAATTATGGGCACTTTATTGTATGACAATATACCTCAACAAAGATTAAAAAAATCACCAGATGGTCTTGATTATGACCATGATTAAAACATCACTGATTTGAGTGTGGGGCACTCTGCTAATCCTAGGACTGTAGTTCCCTGCCCTTGAGGGGGCAGTTTGGGGAGTGATATTAAAAGCCAGTTTAAAATCCTGGGGAATTTTAGATAGAAGTGGGTGGAAAACATGTTCTTGAGAACAAATGAACTATACAAACTACCCTGGCTCTTTAAGTAATTTAGATGCCTATGCAAGAACTTGATTGTGGTGATTATTTCACAATGTATATGTATAACAAATCATCCAGTTATACACCTTAAATATATCCTATTTAAAAAGAAAAGAAGCTTCGAAGAAGGAAGTCATTCTGAGGCAAAGGATAAACATCCTCATGTTGTAACTTATTTCAGTTCATTTCACTGTTTGGCTTTCTGATATTGTTAATATATTTTAATAAAGTATAGGCATGGTGACTTACTTTTTAAAAACCATGTAATTTACTACCCTAACAAAATAAAAGATAAGAATTCATAGAATCATCTCAATAGATGTAGGAAAAAACCATGTGACACCAATTTATAATAAAAACTTTCAGAAAACTATGAATAGAAGGTAACTTCCTCAACTAATAAAGGCCATCTCTGAAAACCTACTTTAGCTAACACAATACTTAATAATAAAAAACTAAACATTATGATCAGGAACAAAGTAGAGATACCCACTCATTTCTTCTACTCAACATTGTACTGGAGGGTCCTAACCAGAATAGTGAGGAAGAAAAAAATAATAAAGAGAATGCAGATTGGAAAGAAGTAAAGCTGTCTTTATTAACAGATGACATCCGCATGTACAAGGAAAATCCTCAGAAGTGTACAAAAAGTCTATTAGAGTAAGTGAATTTAGTAAATTTGCAGGATACAAATTCAATATATAAGAATTGCTTGTTTATATGTAATAGCAACAATTGAAAAATTTAATTTAAAAATCACAGCACCATTAATAAACATATGCAAGACTTCTCTGAAAAGTACAAACAACTGCTGAGAGAAATTAAATAAGCCCTAAATACTCAGAGAGATATACTATGTTCAAGGACTGGAAGACTCAATATTATTGCAATGTCTATTCTCCCTAAAGTGGTCTATAGATTTGATGTAATCTCATACAAAATCCCAGTTGGATTTTTTTGGTGGAAATTGGAGAAAACTAACATTTATATGGCAAAATAAAGTTCTTAGAATAGCTAAATATTCTCAAAAAAGAAGAACAAAGTAGAAAAACTAAGAGGAGCTGATTTAAGACTTACCACAAAGCTTCAGTAAATAAGAGCATGTGGAATTGGCATGAAGATAGACAAACAGATCAATGGGAGATATGAACTCACACTTACGCATTTAAATACCTTCAACAAAGCTACCAATGCAATGCAGAACGAAAAGATAATCTTTCCAACACATGGTACTAGAACAACCAGGTATCTGTATGGAATAAAATGAATCTCAACTCATACCTCACATTGTTCCCAAGAGTTAACTTGAAATGGACCACAGACCTAAATGCAAAAGCTAAAACTATAAAACTTCTAAAAGATAAGGAAGGAAGATATCTTTGCCATCTTGAAGTAGGCAAGGATAGCCTTGAGGTAGGAACCCAGAAAGCACTAACTATAGAAAAATATGATAAAGTGGACATCAACAAAATGAAAAACATCTGCTCATCAAATGATACTATATGAACATCAACAGGCATGCCAGAGGCCAGCTGAAAATCTTTCTAATATATACATCTGACAGAGAACCCAGACCTATTAGAATAAAGAACTCTTACAATTTAATAATAAAAAGACAAACAGCCCAATCAAAACACAGGCAAAGAGGCCTAAACAGATAATTTCCAAAGTAATATAAATGGCCAAAAAAGTAAATGCAGAGATGGTCGACATCATTAGAAAATACAGTCATTTTCATCAGGAAACTACAAATTAACACCACAATGACATACCACTACCCACTTGCTAGAATAGCCAGGATTAAATAGCCCGATGCCACCAAACATGGGCAAGAATGCAGAGCAAGTGGCATTCCCAGACATGCCTGGGGGGAGCGTAAGATGCTACAGTTATTTTGGAACATGGTTTGTCAGTTATTAAAAAGTTAAACATACATCCCCCATGGCCCAGTATTCTAATGCTTGGTATTTATTTATCCAAGAGAAATGAACACATGTGCCCGCAAAAAGCCTCTTACGAGCATTTTCATAGCAGCTTTATAATAACCTAAAGCTGGAACCAACCCAAATGAATAGGTAAATGGCCAGACAGGCAGTGGTGTTTTCATACAGTGGAATATCGCTCAACTGAAAGAGAATGTGCAACCGATGCATACAATAACATGTTACGAGTCTTAAAAACATTTTACTGAGCAAATGGAGCCAGACATAAAAGAATATGTATTCTACGACTCCATTTGTAAGAACTTCTTCTGTACTAGGCCCATGTCCTTCTAGATGCTCTCACCAGACCCAGGGTCGCAAGCCCTGGCCGTGGCTAACACCTCATGAAGCCCCAGGTCCAGCCCCAGCCTCCACACAGAACCCATCAGCCCATAAATCTCTAGATCCAGAGGCCACCACGGGGCCTGTCTCTTGGGTCAGCTTTGGAGTTAGTCCTCTGTTGGATCTATTTTAAACACAGATGCTCCTAGAATCCCCAGACTTCAGTGGGTAATAGAGAGATTCAGTTGACAAATGTGGAAGGACAAAGAGAGAGTCCACAACAGAGGGCAGAAGAAAATGAGGAACAGAGAAAGAGAAGTAGACTGACCTTCAGGAGAGAAACGCCAGGCCATTGGGAAGAAATTAGGGTACAAGCGATGCACCCCTTCCTGGACACACCCCTTCCTGCTGTACCATGTGGCATGTGATGCAGGACAGCTTCATGTCAGGTACGGGCCTGGAGCCTGCCTGGCAGATTCGAAGCCAAGCTCGCCCCTTACTAACCCTATGACCTTACTCAACTTATTCCAGAAGAGCAGAAGCAGCACTGAAGATATTCTCCGAAGGCTGACACCGAGGATGCAGCTGGCCTTGGGCCTAACACCCCAGTGGAAGCGCGTCCTGGGTAGCACGTGCCCTGGGTACCACTCACTGCGTCACTGGAGGGCACGGACACAGCTGCCCCGCCCCTGCCATGGAAAGCTGGATCCCCAGCGGGGCCCGGGCTGTGGAGTTCAAGCCCAGCTACAGCCCTGATGCCTGGGAATCAGCACCACGCATGGGTCAACTGGACGAGTCGGTACCCACCCAGTGGAACCTCCACGTCCTCGCCCCACACGGGACCTGGCTACGTGGAGGGCACTCAACGAACCATACACCCCCAGCTTGGGTGGTGGGATGGGTTCCTCTCGTTGGACACAGCAGGTGCCTGCCTGAGGGTCACCTCCCATCGGAGCTGTCTGGAATCAAGACCCGGGGCTGGAAAGACCTCGAGAGCTCTCACAGATGGGAAACTTGAGCCCAGAGAAGGGGAGAGACAGGCAAAGGTCACACAGCAGTCAGGGCCACGCTAGGATGAGAATCCTAGCCCAGTGCTTGACGCCTGCACCGGAGCCGTCAGCCACGGGGAGACCCCTCAGCCCCTGCCACTCTGCTGAGCAGGGAGGAAAGCTCTGGACACCTCTCTTCCCCACCCAAATACCCTGGGGGAAGCCACCTGCCTGTGCTGCTGTTGTCAGGTCTCCAGGAGGGTCATGGGCCTTCCCAGACTTGGCAAGCAGCTTGAACCCGCAGTGACCTTGTATAAACTCTCCCCTTGCTCTGGACCTAAGTCTTCCCCCATCCACAGAATGGGTGTGGGATACCCACAGCTCTGCTGTGAGAAACACTCCCAGACAGGCTCCTAACATCCAGCCCTGCTGTCCCGAGACTCTGCACGAGTCCACCCCTGCCAGAACTTTGGTTTCTGTACCTGTACAAGAAAGGGTAGAAGACTGAAGCCCCCCAGCTCATATACTCAGGGATCTAAGGATGGATACCCCTTTGATATCCAGAAAGGGAGCTGGGAAATCAGCAGACAGGCCCACCATCGTCAGGAGGATGGAGGGCCAGGATGTCCCCAGGGTAAGGGTCCTTAGAGCCTTTTCCCTCCCCTGCCAGGGGAAGAGTGAGAGATGGTGGCCCAGGGACAGGCTGGGGACCTGCCCAAGGTCACAAGCAGGCGTGGCGCCCTGTGGGGATTAATACTCAGGGCTTCCAGCTCCCATCTCAGTGTTCCTGCTCCCTCCTTAGCTTCCCACCAAGAAGACAAGGAGGAGCTGTTCTGTCTAGTTAACCATAACCCTGACCTGGGTTCTTCCTGCATTAGTTCAGACTGAAGATGCATCGCACGGCACTGGCTTTGGGGGTGGAGATCCAGGAACATGATTTGGGGGTGCCCGGAGGAGGTGGGGACAGGGCCACTGAAAGACTTGGGCAAGTGATGTCCACCCTCCTAACCCAAAATCCACATGGGCCCAGGCCTCTGAATCTACTAAATGAAGGCTCTGCTTCTGCTGGCTTAAGGGGAAAGTAGGGGGCCTCCCACCTCTCACGGCCACTGCAGGCAGGTGGCCCTGGCTCAGACCTGGATACCTAGAGGCTGACCCAGAACCGAGCTCACATTGCTTTCACCATGCCCTGGCCAATGGCTGGCCACCCCACTCTGCCCCCCAGCCCCCTTCCCCAGCCAGAGGAGGTACTCACTGATGGGGGCGTGCAAGGCCACGTGCTCCTGGTAGGGCGTGTAGTACTTGTACTGCTTCCCGCAGAATTCACAGGTGTAATTGCCAGTTTCTGTCCAAGGAGGAGAGGGCCGTGTAAGAACAGGCACCCGCCCCCACCCAAAAGCATCAGCATGCTCCCACCCACCGCCCACACTCCTCCTCCTTCTGGGCCCACCAAGTGGAATCGACCCTGACTCCGGAGTCAGAACGCCTCCGTTCGCATCCCAGCTCGGCCACGTCGACCTGTGTAAGTAACCTTGGGCAAGTCTCTTAACCTCTCTGTGCCTCAGTTTTCCTATCTGTAAAACGGAGGTAATAACAGGACCACCTTATAGGATTGCTGTGAGGATTAAATTTATATGGCAAGTGCTTAGAACAGTACCTGGCACATGCTGTTCTCCCTCGTCGCTCCACCCCCAGCCCCGGTGCTCGAGAAACGCGTGGTGACCTGAGCTGACCTCCAACGCCAACCATGCCAACAGCCCTTTTGCAAGCCCTGCCCTCTGCACTGGTCACACCTGGGTCCCCTCATCTGCAGGACCTTCCCTGTCCCCAAGAACACCCCCACCCACTGGCAGCAGGGATCACTTCTTCCTCTCGGGTCCCACCACGCTTTATCTTTACCTCGCTTTTGGCACTGCCTAACTTCTTTCTTCTTAAAAATGTCTGATGTAATATTGTTCACTGGGGGAAAATTATAAAATACGGATAAATACAAATATAAAATTAAAAAATAAAGAGAAATTTCAAGCATCTGTAATCCCCAAAGAGTAGTATCTACCCGCTTGGGGTAGGGCGTGCACCCTGCCATCTGCCCACCCCACCCTTCACTGCATCTCGTCTGGGGCCTGCTTCTCCAGCTGATACCACCTGTCTGGCTCCTGTGGGCCCTGAATTGGCCAGCCCTGATCAATATCCCCTTTGTAACCCGGTGTAGTCAACCGACAATAACTTTGTGGACATCTTGCCCAATCAATAAATATCGATCTCTACTGCATTTATTGGCTGCAAGGTTCCTACTGGACTTCGGAATTTGCTGAGCCAGTCCCCTATGCCAAGGGACATTTAGATTGTTTCGAGAATTTTTCTCTGTTAAAAAAATGCTGTGATCCACACCCCTGTAGAAATTTTTGCATGTTCACTCATTAGTTTTGCCCCTTATTGCAAAACAAAGATTATCTCACATCATCTTTGCACAATATTTCCTCAGGGCGAATTCCAAAAGGTGGGAAAAGGGGATGTATTTTTAAGGCTTTTGATAACCGTAGCACCATCATCCCAACCAGAAAGGTGTGAAAGTGACTGTTTCTGCACACTGCAGCCGGCATTAACTATTATGATCTTCTTAAATTTTGCCTCTCTGATGAGAGGAAATGTATGACACTACTGATTTCATCTTCCATTTCTTCGATTCCTAAGGAAATTAACTATTTTTCATGTTTAATGAACTACAGTTTTTCTTTTGGGACTTTCCTTTTGTGTTGACAAGCAGTGCTTCTATGGGTATATTTACCTTTTTAAAATCGTTAAACTCTTTGTAGATTAAGGATATCAACATTTTGTTATATATTTTACAATTAATTTTTTCTTCATTGGTTTCTCAGTCTGTTTATGGGTTTTTTCACCTCCTGATATAGAAGATTTAGAATTTTTGGTAGTTAAGTAATTTTTGTAACTGATTGCTGAACACTGGGAAAGGTGTATTATTTGCTATTTGCTATAGGTTTCACAGTTGTTAGATGGACTGTATCAATTACACTATTAAAATTCTATGTAACCTTATCTGTCTACTTGCTCTGTCAAATACTAAATGTTGTGATAAGTCCTTCCATTTCACTGTATTTCTAAATTTATTTTGTATGTTTAGATACAGTGTGTTTGGTGGGTAAAGCCCATCGGATCAAAGTCTTCACTGTGAAGTGTACTCTTCATTAACACGAAACTATTTTCCAACAAAGTGCACCTCCAAAGTCTGGTCCCTGAACCAGCAACATTATCTGGGAAGCTGTTAGAAATGCAAATTCTAGGGGGGAACCAAGGGCAACACACGTAACCTAAACATCTGTACCCCCATAATATGCTGAAATAAAAAAAAAAAAAAAAAAAAGAAATGCAAATTCTTAGGACTTACCCAAGACCAAATGAAAGAAAAGGCCTAGGGGCTGGGTCTAGCGAACTGTGTTTTAACAAGCCCTCCAGAAAATTCTGATGCATGGGAAAGCTTAAGAACCAGTGTTTCTAACAGTTAATTATTCTGCTTTATCAGGTCGTCTGGCACTAACATTAATTTGATAATTACTTTGTCAGGTCCTGCTTTCTATTGTTTGCATGTACCTAAAGATACTTTCCTAAATTTTCTTGTACTTTCATTCATTAAACAGGTACTGTGCTAAGTTCTGGCACAAAATGCTGAGCAAAAACAGGTATAGCTCAAAGAGTTTACAGTCTAAAAAAGGAGGCAAAAATCAAATAATGACCCAAACAAATTTAAAACTGCAACCATGATAGGTGCTCTCAGGAGACATATACGGTGCTATAAAAATCCATGATAGGGACTTTAATCTAGTTAAGGAAGAAAGAGAAGCTCAAGCACAGAGTGAAGATAAGGAATTAACCTTGTCTCTAATAAATGATTAATAACTGGATTATTTTAAATCAACCTGACAATCTTTGTCTTCTAATAAAGGAGATTATGCCCTTTGCTTTTATTGCTGTAATTGATTTGGTTTTATGACTCTTTTTCATGCTCCACCCTTCTGATTTGCTCCCAGTTTTCAGCTGTTTGATATATGAACTCTTTGCTTTTCCATTATTCTCCAATATTCCATTATTTTCCAATATTCTCCACTGTTGTAGACAGTAGATAAGATATATTTCTCTAATTGTTAATAGCCAGATGGGAAATGATACCTTTAAGTCTATCACTAGTGAGAAAAGTAGTTTAACCCAGTGCTTCTCAAACTATAGCATGTGTAAGAAACACCCAGAAAGATTGTTACAACATAGATTGTTGGGCTCTGCCCCAGAGATTCTGATCCCACAGGTCTGAAGTGAGGTCTACGAATTTACGTTTCTAATAAGCTTCCAGGAGACGTTTAGATGTGGTCTGGGACCACACTATGAGTAGGATTGGTTTAACCTACTTTACTGTATCCTTCACCTCTTTTCTTCTTCTCTTCTTTAAAAACTTATTTTTAATACTATAGAATAATTTTTGTCTTTTGCATTCAATTTTATAATCAGATTTGGAACATTTTAGACTTCTAGCTTACCTGGTTTTAGTATTCACAAGTCGTCTTACACTACAAATTCCTCATAATTGAGCCTTTCAATGTGCTCTACAACTCAGTTCATCAGAGTGTATCTTCAAATAATTTTGAAGATTACATAGATGAAGGTGGGTATACAGGAAAAGTAGTATGTTTTTGAGTCCTTGCTCTTTTCTTTACACACAAATCACAACTTGTCCAGATATACAATTCTTGGATTACAACCTTTTCCCTTCAAAACTTGTCCGTTATCTTCTGGGATTTAGTATTGCAGAGAAGTCTGAGGCAAGTCCACCTTGAACTTATGTATAGATAATATGCTTTTTTATACCTGGATGCCTGTATAGTTTTTTTCCTTTATATTTATAGTTTTAAAAAGTCACAGATCTATTAGGTCATTAAATATGAAATGTCTGATTTCAAATAAAAAGTGTAGTTTATCATATCTCAAACAAGAAGTAATACAATTAATCAAAGTATGCGCCTTCACTATCAACACAGTTTCGCCATCGTAACGGTAGCTTGTTTATGCCAGCAGCGAAGAAGCCTGGAGAGCGAGTGGCAATGAAATCATGAAAGGCATCTTTCACAGCTTGTTGAGAATTGAATATTTTTCCTTGCAAGAAGTGGTCCAAAGCCTGGAAGAAGTGGTAGTCAGTTGCTTCAAGGTCTGGTGAATACAGCGGACGACAGAGTTTTTCCAAGTTCAGCGTCTGTAGTTTGAGCAGCACTGTTTGTACAATATGTGGTCAAGCATTGTCTTATAAGAGGATTGGCCTGTCTCTATTGATTAATCTTGGCTGCTTAATTGCAAGCATCCTCATTATTTCATCCAACTGGTTGCATTAGACATCCGCTGTAATTGACTGACCAGGTTTCATGAAGCTGTAGTGGATAATACCAGCGCTGGACCACCAGACACCATTAAGCTTTTTTGATGAATATTCAGTTTTGGACCGTGTTTCAGCACTTCATCTTTATACAATCATTGTGCCCAATGTTTGCAACAGTCAAAAAGAATTCATTTTTCATCACACGTAACAATATGGTGTAGAAATGGTTCACCTTTATGTCATGACAGCAAAGACATGCAAGCTTCAACGATCTCTCTGCTGATGCTCGTTTAATTCATGCGAAACCCATCTATCCAGCTTATTTACCTCGCCGATTTGTTTCAAATGGTCCAATACTGTTGGAATAGTAACGTCAAACCTTGCTGCTAATTCACGCGTAGGTTGAGATGGATTCACTTCCACTACAGCTTTCAGCTCGTCATTATCCATCTAGGTTTCAGGTCGCCCACATGGCTCATTTTCAAGATTAAAATCACCAGGATGGAACTTCTCAAACTATCAACATATTGTGTGTTCATTAGCCACATCCTTCCCAAACACTTGATATTTTGAGCTATCTGTGCTGCACAGGTTCCACAACAGAACTCATATTCGAAAATAACACACATTTTTGACTTATCCATGGTTTCACAAGAATTGCTCTAAAAAAATGTGAAAGACAGTCACAAGCCAAAATGTGCATTTGAAAGACTGAGGATGTACCTTCACAATAAGCATAAAACAAGAAGTGTCAAAGTGAAATGTCAGAGATATCAACTGTCAAATTTAGTACTTAAGGAAATTGGACATTTCATACTTAATAACCTAATATTGAGGTACGGGTCTCTTTTATACTGACTCTGAAACATGATGAGATCTTTAAATCTGCATGTATAGGTTTTCCTTTAGCTGAGCAAAGTTTTCTTCTAGTAGATCTTAGGAGTACAGCTTCTGCCCACTTGTCTACAACACCAATTATCTGGAACTGGCCCCTCTGTTCTCCATATTTATCATGTCTTCCTCTGATTACCTTAATTGGTTCAAGTCTGTTCTTCAGATCGCTAATTCCATTTCTGCAGACCAATCCTGCTCTTTACTATCTATAATGTAGGTTTTAATTCTGTTCTTGTTTTCTGCTTCCCTGCAATCTTTCCTCATCTCACTCCTCTCTTTGCCTCTTTATCTTATCCTGTTGCCTTTTCGCCATAGAACTTTAGGCTCCTTTTTCACAAGGGTCATGCTGTGTACTGAATCGTGCCCCCATCCCCAAATTCATATGTTGAAACCTTGCCCCCAATGTGATGGTATTTGGAGATGGGGCCTTTGGGAAGTAGTTACGGGTAGATGAAGTCATGAAGGTGGGGCCCTCAGGATGGGGTTAGTGCCCTTGTAAGAGGAGATGCCAGAGATCATGCGCATGCTCTCTCTCTCACCATCATGTGAGGACACATGGCTGCTATCTGCAAGCCAGGAAGAGAGCCCTCACCTGAACCCAACCAGGTTGGCACCTTGATCTCAGAGAGCTGTCAGAAATGAATGTCTGTTGTTTATATCACCCACGCTACGGTATTTTGTTATGGCAGCCTAAGAGGACTAAGACAGGTCATAATTTCTTATATGCAATTGAGCTCGTCAAATAGAATTTTCTTCTAGACTTTGCGGTAGATCATTTTCAGAGGCTCTTCCTTTGAGTCTCATAAATTCTCTTTTTCTTATGTGGAATTTTCAGAGTTCTCATGTTTCTGTTTTGTTTTTTAAATTTTTTAAGTTACTCTTTCTTATCCAGGCATAAAATCAAGTAACCTATACGTGACTCCAGACTCACTCTGTTTCAACAGACAACATGAATGAATTCTCCTGGACTCTCCCTGGGCCCACGATCATGGTAGTTAATTCTCAGAGCTGCAGCTGAAGAGTGAGCTGATGCGCAGGTTCCTTAGACCAACTCCCTCCTTCTAGCAGCATCCTCCTGCTCTGTCATGACTCTGGCTTTGCCCAATTCTCTAATTTGCTCAGCTGATGACGACTTCGAATGTGTGCCTCCCGGCATGCGCTGCTGCCAGGGTGTTTCTCCTCTTCCTCTGACCTGCAGAGCTTTACTTGGGGCGACTAGTCCCTTCAAAACGCAGGGTGCCTCTGCTGGCTTCCCTTGTTCTATGTCTATGTTTTTAGGGTCTGTGGCATTGGCTTGCTGACAAGAAGTGGCAGAGGCCCAGGAATCAGCACTCTTGTCTCACAAAGCAGCTCATGAGTGGTAGCAAGGAACGAGCTCAGGCTGCTCCCGCAATCTCCACTCCATCAAGGCAGGAGGAGCACGCTGGCAGTCAGACCCAGCTGGGGGTTCTCAGTGCCATTCTGCACGCCTCATACTCGGTGATGATTCCTCCCAGGTCCTAGTGCCGGCCGGTTGTCTGTCACACTTAGTTACAGACATACAGGACAAGTTTCACCTTGTTCTGCATCTTCTGGGGTAATTAACAGGTACCACTTATTTAAGGCTTTCCAGGCACATGTCAAGGACTAAGCTAATTCCTTTACAAATATAATCTCACCTAAACCCCATGACAATCCTGAAAGGTGAGTTTTACTGTCATCACCCCATTTTAGAGTTAAAGAAACTGTGGATTAGAGACAGATTAGAAAACTTGCAGGACATCATGCAGCTCTTAAGTGTAGAGCTGGGACTCATATTTGGGCTGGCTCTAAAACGCTTGCCCGTGACCCTCTCAGTAACATCTGTCACTTATAACCTGAACATCAGCCAGGTGCTCGGCTAGATACTCTATGCCTGCATCCTCCAACGGCCCTGGAGAACTGATAGATGTGCTTGTCCCCAAACTTACGCACGAGCCAAGGGACACTCACAAGGGATAAGTAGTAAGCTGGTGACACATTCAAACCCAGGCCTTATTCCAAAGCCTATAATGATAACGCTACAGTCAGAAGAGTGGCGCTACACTGGGTCCGCTGGCAGATACTGGACAGATACTGAAGCAGGATATTGCAGATCCCTCTGTCCCTGTCCTGTATCTGTCTACGAATGTCTGTCTCTCCCACCAGACAATGAATTCTTTGATTGCTGCGAAACATGTCTGATTCACATCTGTGCTTCCCCGGCAGAGTCTAACTTCCAGCAGTTTGAGTGTCGAGGATTTCGTCATTTTCATCTTTAAGATTATTTTAATGCTCCTGTTTATCGAGTGTTTACTATGCATGTGACAAGCACTGTGCTAACCACTTTATAGACATTATCTCATCTTCAGTTTCCTGGATGCTTTCAGAAGAGTTAAGAAGAAAGCAAAGACTCATGCTCTGACCACAGACAAGGGAGGAGGAAGAGAAAGCATTTGGGGTGGGGGGCCCACCCAGCACCTTCCAAGGGCTGGGACAGAGCTTTACTCTCTGAGCAATGTACGCAACTTAGTGTTTCAGTGCCTCTGATTTCCCTTCATTTCCTCATCCGCTTGTCCTGTTTCTGTGTGTATTTTTGCAAGCTGCCTCAGATCCTTGTAGTGAAGCAGAGACCATAAAGGTCTCTCTCTCCTTGCTGGTAGTAATTGAGGCACAGGAAACAGAGAGATGAATAAGCATGGACATTTCTGCAGGGCTGGAAAGGACAAGTCCCCCTCACTTGTGGTCCCACCACACCAGCCCCGGGCTGGCCACAGGGTCCTCCCAGCCCATCCTTCCCGTCAGCCACACCGGTCTTCCTAAAAGGCAAATCTGATCGAGTCCCTTACCCACTTAGTAAACTCTCTGGCTCACTCCCCTCAGGATGAAGTCTAGATGCTGCCTCCTGGCATTCAAGGCTAAGACCCGAACCTGTCATCGATTCTCAGAACCAGCACTGCTCTCCTGCCTCTGTGTGACATGCGGGCTCATGCCTGACCCTCGTCCCCACTCTGAAAGCCTCCTGCAGCTCCCTGCATTCTGTGTTGTACCTCTGCTTGATTGTATACTGTCCCCACACCCAGTCCCAGTGTGAATTAACCAAGGGCAGGGCCACCCCTGTCCTGGTCACTGCTGCGTCCCCACAACACTCAATACAAGTCTGCCGGGAACAGGCCAGTCACATGTGTGGCTCCTGCCCTCAAGGGGTTTTCCTGGGACAAGGACAGAGTGTCTGCACATGGCTGCCCTGGACGGCTCCATTCGCTGGTAAACCCGTTCAGATGACTGTAACAACAGTTGTTTTCTTAGCACCTACTATGTACCAGGCACTGTGCTAACAAATGGTTTACACCCATGATCTCATTTAATCCCCCAACAAACCTGCGGGGAAATGTCACCCTCGCTCCACAGGCGGGGAGGCTGAGGTTCAGGATGGCTAACAGACCGCGAGGGCGCCCAGCGCACAGCCAGTGAGCCGGGACTCAGCCCCAGGCCCGGCTGCCTTCACCGCCCTGACCTGGCCCTGTGCTGTCCTGCAGCTCCTCGGAAGCTGAAGTCCTAAGACCGACCAGCCTAACTGACAGGTGGGTGCCGCTGCTGCGGGGTGAGTGATGCCACGTGCCCTCCCCCTCCCCCAGCAGTGGGACTCAGCCCTGCCGCCCCCACCAGCCCCCACCCAGCCCTTGGCCCCAGAGAGAGTCCCGCATACTTGGCCCGATTTTCTGGAACGGTTCCGGGGGCTCCTCCTTCACCTCGTCAGTGGCCACGACGCCTTGGTCGAAGGGGTCTGTGGGAGAACACATGGCCCTTAGCACCCGGTCCCCCAGGTCTCAGGGGCCCAGCCGGGGATGGGGGAGGTGAGCAACCACGAGGACTTACCTGCGCGATTCTCAGGGGCCCCTTCCACGCTAAACACTGCGCCCGGGCGGGAGGCGGCAGCCGCAGGAGGAAAGAAGCAAACAGGAGCCCGTTAGTCCCTGCCCAGAGCTGCCTGTCCGCCTGCTCCCTGTCTCCAAACCAGGGAGTTTGCCTCCGGGGCGGTGTGGAAGCCCCAGAGAGCCAGGGGCAATGTGAGGACACATCCCAGCCAGGACGCAGCCTGTGCCTCAGTTCCTCATCCTTGCTGCGGACAGGCTTCCACCCCCGGGACAGGCAGACACCGCAGGTTCCCAGCGTGCACTTGAGGGGCCAGGGCCGGAGGGAAAGGAAGAGATTAGGAGGAGAGAAAAAGAGGAGGTGTGACAAAGGGTGAGCCAGGGCTCAAGATGAGCTGGGGGGTGGGGCCAGAGAGGGAACCCCCAGGGTCCTTTCCAGGTCCAAGACCCTCTTTCTAGGATGTTTAAAGACTCTTAAAACGTGTTACCTCAATTTATTGTTCTAATTTCTGACTCTATAATCTAAGAGGTTAAAATACCATCATTCATTTTTAAAAATTGGTTTAATTTCACCAGAACATGTGCATACTAAAGAATCAGATGAAACTGTAAAATGACTCGATACGAAATCCCAATATTCTTCCTATTTTGACCTATAAAAATGGCGATTTCACTTGGCTAACCTAAATAGGAGTGTATGTGGGGTATGACGAGGACGTTCCCTCCCCTTGAGGTTCTGGCTGCTGCCGGACCTTCCTCTGGGTGGGAGGGAGGGAGGGCGGGCTGGGGGCTGGTGACCCCAAGGAAGAGCACCTCTTTGCACAACTCCAAGGAGCGAGGGGCCTGACTCACCATCCACTGCGTGCAGGTCTCGGTGCTCTTGGAAACAGCTGTAGTATTTGTACTTCTTCCCGCAGATGTCACACGTGTACCTGAAATTGTCTGCAAGGGATGGACAGATGCATGCGGTTACTAGGGCTTTCGGTCATTTGGGGCAGGGTTTTTCTGGCCCGATCATCTGCCTCAGGAACCAAAGATGGGACTAGCCTAGTCTGGCCCCAACTGGATGACTCCACGGAGAATTGGCCCCTGAGCCCGTCTGCGCCTTGGCGCTGCCCAGCTCTTCTGGACCAGGGAGGGCCACGGCACAGCCACTGCCTGGAACGCCCCGCTTCTCCTCCCCCTGTGCAGCCAGTGCTGCCCTGTGCTCCTTCCTGGGTCCGCAGGGTAGAGGCTGGGGTGTTCGGGGTCCTCTGCGGAGATCCAGACCGTGCAAGGTGACCAGGGAGCCTGGAAGTGACTCCCCAGCCAATCCCCAACCCTGCCCTATGTAGGCCGAGCTCCTAAGGGCCTGGTTCATAACTGGTCCCACGGACCGTCATAGAAGTCCCATGAGAACATTAACAATCACTGCCCCACCACGCACAAGGCATCACGACATGCAAGGCGCCAGGCCACGCTCTTCCCCTACGTTGCCTAAGTTACTTCTCACAACAGAGGGAGGAAGTAGTCTCTCATTTTACATGTGGGGAAACTGAGGAACAGAAGGGACCTGCCCTACATCCACAGCTTGGGAGATGGCGCCCAAGGATCCTTGCCTCCTTGTGTTTGCGCCCTGTGTGACCCCTTCCCTGTGAGCCTTGGCTGGACCTCGAGACTTGCTTCCAATGAACAGAGGCAGTAAAAGTGATGGGATGTCACTTCTGACGTTAGGTTACGAAAGATCGTGAGTTTCATCTTGAGCACACCTTCTCTCTCTGGCTCACATGCTTGCTAGCTGCCATGCTGTGAGCTGTCCCCTGAGACGCAGGTGGCCAGGAGCTGAGGGCAGCCTCTGGTGAACAGCCAGTGAGGAACAGAGGCCCTCAGTCCAAGGGCGTGGGAAGGACTGGACCCTGCTAACAACCCCGTGAGCAAGCTTAGAAGCAGCTCCTCCCTAGTCGAGCCTTGAGATGAGACCACAGCCCCGTCCGACTCCTTGACTGCAACCTGTGAGAGACCCAGTGAAGCCATACCCAAACCCTGACCCCAGCACCTGGGGAATAATCAATATTTGTTGCTTTAAGTCATTAAGTTTTAGAGACATAGCACTAGAAAACTCACACGGGGCCTGAGTTTGGGTGAACTGCCCAGGTCTACCCGAAGCCTGAGGCAGGAACCACATGGGACACCACCCTCTCCGTGCAGGCATGCCTCTCACATTTGTGCGGGCATGCACCTTGTGTGCACATCCCTTTGGCTACATTGGGAGGGCCCACTAATCCCATCTCCGTGAGACGCCCGGGCACAGAGAGGCTCGGCAGTTTGCTCGAGGCTGCGTGGAGAGGAAGCGCCAGGATTCAAACATTCCTTAACCCCAAGCTGAGACTGAGTCGGGGCATATGGTCCTTCTCTGTCCTGATAAGCCGCCTGTCGGTCCTGGGCTGGGGTACTTCCCTCTTGGCCCCTCTCCTGCCCCTCAGCACCCGAACAGAGGCTGCAATGCCCATCCCCAGGCTGTGTTTCTAGGCAATTCTGTGGGAAGATTTTTGGCCCTCTAATAGCTGAACTGAGGGACACAGATGACATTAGCTGTGTCCCCTCCCAGCTCCACCCTCACCTCCTCCATTGCACTGGCAGTCTCTGGAAATGCCTCAGCAGACGCCAGGGCCCTAGAGACAAACTGGTCCCTGAGCGGGGAGCCCACAGCCTTGGCTCTGGCAGACACTGTGAGGATGCCGGGTACCAGAAGCACCCGAGGGAGAGGTGCTGGGGGTGGGGAGAGGGCTGCAGATGAGCTGAACCCTGGGGCCTCCTCCCAGCTGGTGGTTCTAGGATCCCACCCCTGGCTCAGGCCTCCTTCCTTTCTCATGGCCAGCCATCCAGCCCAGACAACCACCTCCCCCACCAGGTCCCATGCGGAATCAATCCCAGTATGTCCTACGCTGACCAGTGCTGCTCCAGGTCCGCTGCCACCTGCCCGCTTGCTCGTCTCTGCCACACACCTCCCCAGCCAGCGGGCCACCCCTCACCTCAAGGCCACGCAAACTGCCAACCCTCTGCTGCTGAGAAGCACCCCCACACCACGACGGCTCCTTGACCCGGACGGGGACCCCATTCCTGGGCCCTCCTCAGGCAGGAGTTGAATAGGACAAGAGAGATACCCTCAGAGGAGGAGGGCAAAACACTCTTTTGTCAGTGAAACTACACTTTCAGAACCCTGTGAGAGCTCAGTGTCTCCAGAAATGCCACAGCAAATCCACTTTGGGAGGTGGGCCCTGGAGTCAGGCAGCCCGAACTCAAACCCAGCTCTACCACTTACAAGTGCGGCAGACCTCAGACATGCTCCCCATCCCCTGGGCCTCGGTTTTCTCATCTGTAAAATGGGAATAATGATAGAGTCTTCAACTCCTAAGGTTGTAATAAGGGAGCATAATGCCTGACATCCAATAAATACCTTGGAAATGTTACCCAGTATCGTTTACAAAGTGAATCAACGTGACAGTAGCAAGAGAATCACAGGTGGGGCTCATCTTTTATTTTCTTAGCTGAGAGATGGGTGAGTGGATATGTCTTAATGCTTCTATGTGTGACTGCCCTATTTTCCTAATAAATAAATGAAAGGTTTCTAGACTAGAATGTGTGAGACCTCATTTCTAGGTCTACCTCCACCGCTAACAAGCTCCCCCTCTCTCTGGGACTTAGTGTCCTCATCTGCAAAATGGGTAGGCTGGACTCAGTCCTCTCAAAGTGAACGCTTTTGGCTCCAAGACCCCACGGCCAGGCGCTCTGAGCAGGCGCTGTTGGCCTGGGTCAGGGTGGGGGTGTAGGGCTGAGAATAAAATAGAGCACACCGACCGTGGGGAGAAAACTGCACGGGGAGAAAGGGAAAAGTGATGGAAGAACTAAAAATACCTCTGGCTGCACAGCCCTCGACAACCGGCAGCCCGCGTACAGCGGAAGCAGGCGGAACACAACGGCTCGTTGAGGGGCTGCCGGAGAGGCCAGGGGCCCAGAATAGCCGAGGAAGGAAAGATAAATAGGGAAGTTCTTTAAATGTGTGGCTGACCGCAGGCAGACCATGGGAGCCAGAAAAGAATGGAGCTATTGAGGGACACGGGAGTCCAGGGCCAGGCTGGGGCAGGGCGGCAGGCCGGGGAGGGGCGGGCTTCTGCCTCCTCCCAGCTGGGGGCTGTGGCAGGTGTCTAGCCAACCTGGGCCTGCTTCCCCTCCAGATCACGGAGGAATCGAATCCTCGCAGCCCCGCCTGCCTCTCCTCTGGTGAGGAATCCAGACAGAGAGCGGACGGGAAGTGCTTACAAGGAACACCACTGGGACCGGGCCAGTTAAAAAGCCGTCTCCAGCCACAGGCACCTCTTCAAACTGCTTCGATTTGGGGTTTTGGGGGTACTATTTGTTTACCATCTTAAAAACTATCTATGGTGGTATAACAAACACATAGAACAGCACGCGATGGTCCGTGGGCCAAATCCCGCCCAGCATCTGTTTGGTCAGGGAATCATTTACATCGCGGCTCTGGCGTGTGCCTGCTACAAGGGCAGGGCCGAGTAGTTGTGACGGAGACGTCTGGACTATAAAGTCTAAAATACCTACCATCTGGCCCTCGGCAGAAAAAGTGTGCCAACCCCCGATATAGAACAATGTATAAATCATAAACGTGTCATTCATTCAATTTCTGCAAACTGAAAACACGCATGTAACTGGCACCCAGCTCAGGAAACAACACAGAAGCCCCTTCCCCAGGGCAACCACTCTTCTGACCTCTACTAGCATCAGTTTCAGCTGCTTCTGTACTTTCTATACACGGGACCTCAGAGGATGAACTTTTGCGTCCGGCTTATTTTGCTCACTGTGTTTGTGAACGTGAGTCATCCATGTGGTTGTGTGTGGCTACGAGTTCTTCTTTCTTACTACCGTACAGGAGTCCTTTGTGTGAATATACCTGTTCATCCCTTCAACAAGCACTGGAAATTTGGGCAGTTTCTGGTTTGGAGCTGTTAGGAACAGTACGCTAAGAACAATCTAACTCACACCTTTTGGTGGACGTGGGCACACGTTTCTGCTGCACACACACCTAGGGGCAGAGCCGCTGGCTTCTGGAGCTCGGTGTTGCACACCCGCCTGGCAGGTTGCTCACCAGGCCTTGGGGTCTGGAGTGGGAAGGAGGGCCTGTGTGCAGCAGAGCAGAGCACTGTCCCCAGACGGCAGGGCCCTGCGCCGCCACAGCTGGGATAAGGCACCCAGGGCAGATCACCAACAAGCAACCGGTGCCCGTGGCTGTGGGTGCGCATGAGATGACTCTGAAGCAGCATTTCCCAAAGTCAGCTACGGAGCCCCAGGGCCGTGAGTCAGAGTCAAAGAACACAGGAAACTAGACAGGCTGGCTTCCCACTGGGGACACACAGGCACATCTGCCAGTGAACGGTCCCAAGACGTCCACTGCAAAGGAACCCAGCTATCCTAGTACAACTCAGGTTGCCCACAGTTATGTGGCGAGAGAAGCCTTTCTTGCCACGGAACACACTTTGGGAAGGGTGGCCCTGAGGTACCATGCTCCGGTTTCATAAAGACTCTGGCCCAGCAACGTGTCTCTCAGAGGCCGCTCAGGGCAGTCCAGGGGGAGGGGACAAGCGTCTTCTCTTCCTCCCTCCCAGCCCTCAGCCCCCACCAGCCACAAGGGGGAAACAGTACTCACTGCTTTGGGAGGCTCCCTCCCCAGAGGTGGCTTCAGTGTCTGCAGAGAGAGAGGGGGAAGGAGGTGAGTGGATGGTGAGCTGGCGCTGAGCATGAGGGAGAACCCGGGAGGGCTCTTCCCACGGGAGCTGCAGGGGGAGAGCCTCAGAGTCCTCCCGGGGCCCTGACGTCAGCCAGGCCCCAACCCGTGCCTGCCAGGCTCAGAGAAAGGCAGCTGCCACCCCTCCTGTGCCTCAGCTTCCTCATCTTCAGAACGGGAAGCAGATGTCCAGCCCCTCACCCAAGGTTGTCATGAGTAACACATACGATGACTCGCGCACGTGCCCCATGGGAGCCGCTGGCACAGAGCAGTGCCCATGCGTCCTGGAGGACAAGGCCGCGGGGGCAGGCGGCAGCCTTCTAGGAGAGGCCGGGTGGTGAGTCCTGCTGGCTCCCCTCCGCCCCTGTGCTCTCCCACACCAGGCGGCCGCCCTTCTCCTGCCTGGCGCCCTCCTACTGAGGAAAGATGGAAGAGACCCCGGGAGACTGGAGCTCTCAGGGCCTCAGGGTCGCCCAAGAGGGGCCCAAGTGCGAAATGGGTACTTCCCTGGGCTCTGCCCTGCGGACATCCCACTCACCTCGGTGTGCCCGCACGTGGGTCTGGAAGCAGTTGTAATACTTGTACTTCTTGCCACAGATTCCACACTCATAGGACCCTAGAAAACAGGAGAGGGAAGGATTGGTCAGCTGGCACCCAACGTCTGCGACCACAAGGCCCCAGGACCCAAGTCCAAGCACAGCTGACTCTGCAACGGGGGCAGGGGCGACCCCTGGCAAGCAAATAGGCAGCACCGTGCCAGATGTCAGTCAGGACGCCCGGGTCTACGTCCAGGTTTGCCTCCTGCTCTGAGTGACCTTGGGAAAAGCCCCTCTGCCATCGCTGGGCCTCAGTTTCCAAATCTGTAAGATGGAGAAGGTGACTTTTTCAACTAACCCTCACACTTATACCTTGAGAGGAAAAAGGAGATGGACAAAAAAGTGCTCTGAAAGGAATAAATCTCATCCACATAAGAAAATCATCACTTAAATGCAGTAATTTCCAGCTATCCCTTTTTCTTGCCAGGATGAGACAGAGGTTAAGAGGACAGGCTTTGAATCAGACACACCTGGGTCCCTGTCTGCCACTTACCAGCAGCATGACCTTGGTAATTTCCTGAGACACACCAAGCCTCAGTCTGCCCATCTGCAGACTGAGGGCTAAAGGTACCTACCTTACAGGGGTGGCCCACACTTCCCCTAGCATGTGCCCAGCCCTACTACACATATGCCTGGCTAGCAGAGGAACCCCCACACCCGCTGAGGAGCTGCCCTGTTCCCTCAGACATACAGAGACCAACATGGTGAAGACACCTGACTCCAGCCCCCTGCCAGGCCCTTCTCCCAGGAGCAGGTAGACTAAAAGGGCTAAACTCCCAGTGGGCGCTGCAGACAGGCTGAAGGAGGAGCCCACCCACGCAGAGCTCGGGGCTCAGGCCCATAGCAGGAAGCCAAGCAGAGACCTTCAGAGCCAGCCTGTCAGGGACCCCAGGAGTAGAGGCTCTGCCCATCCCCCACCTACTGGTGCCCTCATGACAGTCTGATGCCACCTGGACCAGGGCCCCCGCTCTGCCTAACAGAATGGCCAGGGACAAATGCAGAGGCCCTGGCCCACTCTAGCTTAGTGCTCTAGAGCGGCTGGGGTGGAGGCCTAGGAATCTGCCTCTTCCAACAAGGTCCTCAGGGGACCCTGGCACCCGGCGTCCGGGCGTGGGAAGTGCTGGTTTACGGTCAGGTCTGCGATGGAGTCCCAGCCCTGCCACTTACTGGCGGGGCCTCAGCGTCCTCCTTGGGAAAAGGTGGATGGTGCAGGAGGGTCGGTGTGAAGGCTAAGTGTGAATGGTGTTCCCGGCACAGGAGCAGACCCTTGGTGAGGGCGGACATCTAAGCTCACGCTCTCTTTGGACCTGGCTAGAAGTAGAGGCCCGTTTGCTAGGTGTGCGCCTGCGGTATTGGATGAAGCCAAAAGCGGGCGGGATGCGGAGTCTGAAGGTTAGCTTAGCTCTGCCCCCTCTTAGCTGTTTGAGCTCAGACACCTAAGACACGCCCCTTTACCTGTCTCAGCCTCAGTTTCCCCACCTGTAAAACAGGACTATGATTCCTGCATATCATGATGAGGTCAGGAGCAACAGGACTGACTCTGTGAGTCATCTGGCACACGGCAGGTACTGAGGGACAGTAGCCGGTGCTACTGTGACTCCTTGGGTCACTCCAGGGGCTGCTGTCACCCTAACAGCAGCGTGGGATTTAGCAGTGTCATTTAGTGGTTTGTGTATGTGTTACCTTGTCACGCAGGGGAAAATACATCATGTGGACGGCAAAGATCAGGCCACGTATTTCTCTGCATTCAGCCGCCCTGCGACTGGCACACAGCGAGGGCCCGGTAAACTCGCAGTGTCTTGCTGTTCTGCTCATCGGTCACCAAGTGCTGATGCCTCCCGCCCTTCTCGCTGCCTCCTCCCACTCTTGAGCAGCTTCTGCCAGCTCCCCTTCAACCAGTTGGGAACCTATGGAGCATCTGCGCTGTGCCCAGCACTGAGGCTCCAGCCGTGAGCAAGGTGTGCTCCCTGCCCTCTATCTAATGGGAAAGGGACAGGCCACCAGGCACCAGGTGATGTTAGGACAGCAAGCGCAGGGCCTGGGGCACAGAGGCAGGACCCTGCCCAGCCACAGTGAGGGGCCAAGTCAGTGGAGTCGAAACTGTTCATCACCAACTCAAGTCCCGATGGGCTTTATGGGGTCCTCTATCAGCCCACGGAGAGAGCTGAGGGCACAGGGGACCTTGCTCGTGGGTCTCATCCCATAGAGGGAGCCCTGGGGACCACGATGGCTCCTCAGCCATCTCCTGACCTCCTGATGCAGAGTGAGGCACCTTGCCCAGCACACTGGGCCTCCAGACTGCGTACTGGGTGCTGCCAGGAGGGGCCTTCAGTGTAGTCTTCACTCACCCTAGGACCCCAGGCCCACCTGCCACTCACTCACCCTAGGACCCCAGGCCCACCTGCCGCTCACTCACCCTAGGACCCCAGGCCTGTCAGCCACTCACTCACTCTAGGACCCCGGGCCACTCCTACAACTCACTCACTCTAAGACCCTGGGCTCCAGGTTCCCTATCTGTAGATGGGTCCAGAGGGGCAGAGAGGTGGGAGGTGGAGTGTGGGGAGAGTTTACCTGAGTGGCAGCCCACAGTGCAGTGATGTCAGCAAACTGGGTTCAAATCCCAGCTCACCACATACCAGCGAGGGAGCCCACAACAAGTCATGGAACAACTACGCCTCAGGCTTCCTCTCTGTAAAACCGTCCCCACCTGGGCGGGGTGTGAGCAATACTATGCGTCCTTAGCACAGTGCTGGCCACACTGCAGGCACTCAATAAATGACAGCTGCTGTTACCGTCAGCATTTTCCGAAGTGTTTTCTTTGGAACCCAACTCCCTAAATGCCTCCCAGGGAAAAGAGGAGCATGGCCAAGTGGGTGTGAGGAAGGCCTCATGGCTGGCCCGCTGGGAAGACACAGTGCGCGGCAGAGGCCGCAGCTCGGAGGAGCCCAGCAGTGCAGGGAGCCAGCCACTGTGTAACCTGAGGCTCCCAAACACATTTGGCCCCAGAACCATTTGCCCTCTTGGCTTGTTTCACAGAGTCGCAGCCCAAAGGAAGTGCTGCCAAAATGGTCCGCACATTCTAGACTTCCAGATTCCCACTGCTCTACCATCCCTCCAAGACCCACGTGTTTCCACAGTCCCCAGGGCAGGCTCAGATTTGCTCCCATGTAGCAGGGACAGGGTGTTGGGGAGGGTGGCCCCTCTTGGCCCTGAGACACTAGTGGGGCCTGCTTACTCAGGGGCCTGCAGCTGATGGCTACGTCCAGCTGTGCCTCCCCCCGTGCTGGCCCCAGATCAGGCCCTGCCCCTCGGCCATCACGTACCAGATGCATATCTCAATGCTTGGTCAAAAATCCAGGTCCCTGAATACCGGCTTCGCACAGATCCACCGTGGGGGCTGCCTTCGGGCGCTTTTCCATCTGAATTACGTAAGAAATCAGAAAGAGCCCTTAAAGTTGGAGAATGCCAGGGATGTTAGGGGAGGAGCAAAGTCAGCTGGGGAGGGGGTCTGCGTCTAGGGCTGGCTAGCCACCTGCGCTTTCAGGGCCTCGGTCTCCCCAGCTGCACTTCAAGAAGGGTGGACAAGATCACACTATGTCTGTGTCTTCACTAAAGAACTTGTGCTGGCCGAGGGGCATCCATGTGTTCCCCAGGGAGGCTGGGGTATGGCAGAAAGAGGCAGCAAAAGGCTACAACCCCGTGAAGTTTTGTGTTTTCTCTGTATTGTGAGTTATCACTTGGCTAGAACATAGAATTTCTCCCCAAAAACCTTCCAGCAAAATTACCCTCCAAGGAGATGTGCCCCAGGCGTGCAGTGGCCTTGTGTTGGTCAAGATTGGTCAGTGGGGCTCTGGAGAGCCTTCTCAGGGACTCTTTGCTTGACCATTCTCGGTCTTGACACCTGGCTCCCAGCCCGGCATGTTTCCTCTGTTGCTGCCACACCCCCTGGCGCTCTCTTCCTCTGTGAACCACGCATGGCAGCCACCATCACCACGCCAAGTGTGGCAGGTTCATCTGCAACGCTTCTGCACGGACTGGCCTCTGACCCCACTGCCCCAGTGAGGAAGCGGAGGCTGGGGCAGGAGTGAGCCGCAACTCCCCCGGTTCACGCTGCCAAGTCGTGGGAGCAGGATCCAGACTCAGGTCACCCTCGCAACCCCAGCAGATACAGGTGATCTTTATCCCCATTTTCAGATGAAGGAAGCAAGGAGCAGAGAGGTGACACGCAGCGCCAGAGACTGCTCAGATCTGATTTGCTCCCGAGCCACACAGTCAGCCCCTTGGAAAGCACCGGAAGATACGGTGCTTGGGAACCTTTACCGCTGACCAAGCACATCGGGTCTCGTTTCCATCCTCCATCTTCCCTGAAGTCCTCATGAGGCTGGGGCAACTCAACACCCATTTCCAGGAGGAGCGTAAGGTTCCAGCAGCCACGCTGTCCAGGACTGGGGTTACTCAGCTAGTGGCTGGTGAGGAACCTTCAGGGCTCCAGAGCCATCCTATTGACACCATGCCAGGTCACCTGCTAGATGTCAGGTGAGCTGTGTGCCCCCTTCAGGGATGGGTCACTAGGGACAGCGGGCAGGGCTGGCGAGCACACGGGAGCTTAGCCTTTTCCTCTCCCACCCCTGCTGTCACTAGTGATGCAACAAGAATCCATGGTCCCCATCCTGACAAATCAGCGTTAACAGCTCCTGTCCAGCACTTTTCACAAGCACCTGGCAGAGACCTTGGCTTAGCTCCCTCCCTGGAGCGCTGGACAAACCAGGTGAGGCCAGGCGGGTCTAGTGCCCGAGGTCACAGAAGGGAGAAGTGGGCAGACACCTAGGAGAAGACAGTCCTCTGAGGAACAACGCCAGGCAGCAACCCTCAGCTCCTATCATGAGCACCCGCTGGCTCCAGAGAAGCTTGGACACCTTTCAGGATACACGCAAGGCAACAAGACAAGAGATCCAAAGGCAGGTGTGTGAGAGAAGAGCAACGCGAGGGTGGGGACAGAGAGACGGTTCCTTACTACGCACAGTCCTGTATTCAGCCTGGAGTCTTTCAGGAGCGGCTGCTCACAGAGCACACGTTTAGGAGAGCCCAGTCCTCTTGGTTCGAAGGTGTAAGAGGAGCTGCGCCCAGGGCTCGCCGGAGGACAGGGGACTTGGAGAGGGAAGTCGTGGACAAGTGGGTTTCCTGAGGCTCTCTGGGGCTTGGCCTCAGACTGAATGTCCTCTGGAGCAGGGTCTTCCCGGTAGAACGCAATGCCCTGGGGTGTGTGGAGGCTGCTCCCTGGGGTACGTGAGCACAAGCAGTCTTAGGAAAACTGTCAACTTCCAAACACGTTCTTTCCTAAAATCAACGCGCCAGAGCACACGGCAAGTGGGGAGAGTCCACTCACCAGTTCTCTTTTCCATTTGCACGGTCACCCTTCTCCCACGTTACGAACAAAAGGCAATTCTTTCACCCTCCTCCTCAATCCTGCTGTGGTGCCTTCCCCCAGGGAATAAAAACCTCGGGGCTCTGAGCAAAGAGATGACCCAAAATATCAGTGTCAGGGGTAGAAAGTGAGTGCATCTAATGACCAGGAACAACTCCTCTTTTGAATCGGGTCGTTTCCAATTCTCTGCTTTCAACAAAATTGAAGGAGGATATAATGGAGTTGTCAGTGAAGAGACCATTAAAAATACTGTCTGATGATAGACCCCCGTGTGATTTTTGGCATACAACTTGGAAGGAGTTCAAAGAATTGAGTGACACCGCTAAAACGGAACTCCATCGGCGCCAGCTCCATAAATGGGATCGGGCTTTCTGAGCACTTACACCTACAAAACCCCAAAAACAGGAATTAATGCTGAATCCTGTCTCCTTCTAGCAGTAAAAAATATTAATTCACAGATACATGAGCCAATTGAGAAGGAAAGAAAGCCCTACTCATTTCATTAAGAGGTGCGTTTTCAATAATTTTTACTTTTATGCCTACTATTTATTCAAATTTGTTTTTGATGAATTGTATGCTAATAACAACTCAATCTGGGGAAAGAAAAAGTGATTTAGAATGTAGAGCTTTATGATCCCAGGAAATTTTTTTTTTTTTTTTTTTAGAAATTTCAATTTCAATTTATGTACATCTTGTTATGGCAGATGAGTGTGAAACACTGATCAATAAAAGACTTTCAAGCATAAAAAATATATTACATCAGGATGAAATCCTGTGGGGGAAGTGGACTGGAAATACGAGTTCAAGGAGAGAAGGAACGATGTAAAATTTCTGACTGTTAAAGATGAGCTTTTTGGTATGTTTTTTAAGTGATGATGGCGGCTATCAAACAGCAGAGGTGTTTGGATCCCTCGGATACATTTAAAAGAGTGGTTCACAGTTTTATTTCCAAAATGCCACCTTTTTCTTTTTTTTTTACAGAATATTCTGCAAATGATATCCTTTGCAATTACTTAAACTTTGGCTAAAAATGTTAGCTATCAACTCAAACATGTGAAAGAGGATATACGGTTTTTCAAAATTGTTTTAGCCCACAGTGAACAAAGAGTGTCTGAAACCGCTGGTCTTTTAGATTCCTGTCCCTCCAGAGGTAACCCCAGAGGTACCAGCAGCCTGAGGCTTCAGCTAATACCCGTGGTATCTGTTTTGCATTTTTTGTCCCCATTTAAAAACACTTTCATACATATGACTTCACTCTGCCCCCAATGATTCTACTGTCAAGACGGGCAGATTTTTATCATACTCACTCACCACTCAAGACACTATGGCTCAGAGAGGTTAAGGGGTTTATCTAAGGCCCCACAGCAGGGTAGATCCTGGATCTCTTGACTTACAGCCCAGGGGCCCTTTCCAACAAGGGGCCCTCCAACCAGCACCCCTTTCCTGCCTCAGACTACCAGATGAAGAGTCAGTAGCAAAGACTGGGGTGGGAGCCTGGGAGGGTGGCCAGAATCCTTTCTTTCCAAGCGGCTGCAGCAAAGAGCTGAGTGTTGGTTCTGGCAGGCTCAGGTGCGAAGCCCTGCCAACAACCTATTGAAACAGGAAACGAACTATCAGCTGGCACTGTGAAGCAGGACCTGGCACCTACGCTGCTTGGGTTTGTCGTGGGCTGAAACCCACGTGGCCGTGTCTGAATGGCTGTCATGCTCTTCTGTTGCTCCTTCCAGGGCCACGGCCCAGCCACCAGCCTCCTCCTCTTTCCCCGGCTTCCCAGACAGCCCTGCGTGTGAGGAAACACCTCCATCCCTTGGTGCACAAAGCTCACTGCCTAGAAACATCCTTGTGGAATCCAATCTCCCGTCTATATGAACCTTGACTTCTCCCTTCCTGCACCCGTCCAGTGACCCTCCCTGACCACCTACGTCTGGGACAGGGAACTCACTCCCTCACAGGCCTGTTTCCAGTTACCAAACAGTTCCTACAATCATAAAGTCACTCCTTTCACTAAGTTGAAATCCCCCCTCCTGGTGACTTCTCTGTATTGCTCAGAGCTACCTGGAATGTGCCTGCTCTGTCTATCCCCTGCAAAATGCTACACGTTGTGACCATTTAAACTCTACCATCCCCCTCCTCATCCCCTCGCTGTCCTTAGTCTCTCCTCCCAGGACAAACAGCCCTTAGCTTTTCTGGGGGGCTCCTCCCACACTGAGCTAACTCTCTGGAAATAACCTGCTTGGTCCACAACACTTATCTGAATTGGAGCCCCGTTGAGTCTGGGCCACTCCCTCCCTCTGCAGGCTCCTGCACCGCCACTGGGGAATCTTGGGATCCCCCCCCACCGCCAGGTCTCTAGGCTCCTGTGGCTCTCCCTGGGCTCCCTCATCTGTGACCGCCTCCAGATTAAGGACCAATGGTCTCACAGCACAGGGAAGAACACCCACTGCTCGAACGTACATTTTGACCGTCATGATGAGATCCCGGCCTCCCTGTCTCTTGGAGTCAGGAAACTATCCCTGATGCTCTCATTGTAAACCCAGCTGTAAACAAGAATGACAAGTAGGTTTTCCAATTTTTCAATTCTAGCTGACTGGCTGTCAGCTAGAATATTGGGTACACAGTGCTGAGAAGGATTCTGAGGTGCGTTGTTGGGGCACTGTACAGTAATCAATTAGCAATGCCTGCCATGAACATGGAATTGGGCAGTAGCAATGGCAGTGTTTTACACTTTATCGTTCCTCACAGAGGAGGAGCTCCTGCAACCTCAAGTGTGACTCTGCCACTCCTTCTTGGGGCCGCTGTGCAGAGCTGCTCATGCGGCTTGTCAGGAGGGCAAAGGCATTTGTTAACTCACTTCCTTTCTCTTTTGATTTTATCCAACAAAGTCATCAAGTTTAGTATGACCTCTGTTCTTCTTGCTAAAAAAGGAAGCTCTGGGTCTTGCCCCTAAACCCTACACCAGCTCCAATGGCTGTGACGTTCTTTCTAAGAGTGAGAGACGCCCTTCTCAGACAAGGAATTCTCTGGGCAGCAGGGAAGTGGCAGCAGCCACTGCAGACTTGGCAGCCAGCCTCCTGGGCACTGATGCCCCTCCAGAGTCCCAGCCTGAGGAGCTGCCAAACGCCATCCACGTGCCCATGACCCGAGCTCCTCCACGGGAAGTGCCTTGGATAATGTTTGTGTCACTGGGAACATTGTTTGTCTGATGGCTATTAAAGGGCCAGTGTGGACTTGGGGAGGCTCCCTCATGGCACAGCACTGGGTGACCAAACAGGGACACCATTCTATTCAGCAACAGAGCCCTGTCTCTGAGGCCCGAGTGAGGCTGGGTGAGCGAAGTACTCAGGAGGCCCTTGGCTCTGCTAACCAGGCACTCCCCTGCCAAGTGCCTCGGGAACATGTTGACTCCCCCACGCCCGGCCACCAGGGCACAGAAAGCACACTGTGGCATGAGCTTGCTTAAAGCCAAGGCTCTAACCAGCATCCCACCCCCAGCTGCGTCCCAGGAGTGGTGTCTCTACTTACTGTACTTTTGGAAGCGGGTAGGAGGCTGGTGCTATGAGGTAGAGTGGGCCCTTCTGGACAGGAAGAAAATGTCCTCGACTTGCTGAGTGACCTTGGGCAACTCTTTTTGCCTGGCCCTCTATAAAATGAGGGGGTCAAGTATGTGAAATTGATAGCATGTGTAGCCCCACTACCCACTTCTACATTCAGGGCAGACATCAACAATCGATTACACTACCCTTTAGAATCTTTAACACAGAACAGCCAGTAGCAACTGCTTGGACTTGGACCACATGACAAATCTACTTGCCATCTTGAGATGAGTGAGTTCAAAAGGCTCAATGCTAACACTGGTTTTTTAATCCCTTTCTATCTGGGTGATGAGGCCAAGCTGGCTTCTTCTGACACCCTTGGGCAGGAAGGCCTGCCTTGACACCCTTGGGCAGGGTGTCATACCTTCACCATGCAAGATTAGCCACCATGATCAGTGGCGAGCACCTGGCCCTGCTTTGGTAGGACTCCAAACCGGTGGCTCCACTTATAACATGCCACTGGGGCTTATATATCTTTTTCACAGGGGCCTGCCATAAATAGCTTACTCCAAAGTTCCGCAAGGTGCTCCAAGTCCCTGAGTCTGAGGGAGGCAGTACTAGAAGAACGGCTGGGGCTGAGCAGGTTTCCCTGTCCAGTTAGATGAGAAAGCTGAAGCCCACTTAGAACCCGTGTCTTCTCACACCTCACCCAGCGCCAACTTTCTTCCCCGTGCCACTGTTTCTCTATATCACACTGGCTTCCTTCTTAGACTGGGAAGAAAAGCAGACACGACTACTACTCCTTCTCCTTGAAGAGGTACTTTATGCTATTAATACTGGTACTACCAGAGTAATAGCTCATCGTTTACTAAGCACGATGCTGAGCGTCTGCATGCATTATCTTCTTGCAGCCTCAGATAACCCCACAAATTTGCAATCATGGGAACTGAGGCACAGAGAGGACAAGGAACCGGCGGGAGGTAGCACACCTACTAAGTCCTAGAGCCTGATCCACTCCGAGCTTGAGGACCTCAGCTCATCCTTTGCAAGCAACACTGTTCCCTTCCACTGCTTTGCGTGTTCACCCCTGTGAGGCGGCCAGGACAGGGACCACACTTCATTTAACAGATGAGGACACTAAGGCACAGCACGGCGAGGACCCTGCTGGTAAGCGGCAGCTGAGCTGGACACCAGCAGTGGCGGCTGGCATGAGGCTGGCGGGCCCCGGGGCTCGCACCGTGCGGGCAGCTGGCTCAGGCAAGACTCCCAACATTTCCCGGGCCGCTCTCCCCGCTGAATCCAGACCGCTGGCTCCATCCCAAGATTCAGATTCAACGACCCTTCCCTGGGCACCTCCCGGTGAAGGGCAGAAACAGCTACTGGGTTAGCCCTGAGTCTTAACACACGCACCGAAGGGAGCAGGCGCACGTCCTCTCTTCCATTAGCTAACAAATCCACTAGTGATTAACACCGTCCTTGGCCTCGGGGAGTCAGCACTGACGAGGGGAGGTCGGGCGAGGGCCCCTGAAAACACTCGCTCTCTCGTTCAGCACTGCGCTGTCACTTCTGCTGCTCCCCCAACATCCCTGCTTCCCTCCCATTCTGTCACGGGGAGGATGGCATCTCCTGGCCTCTCTGAGGTTGGGCGGGGCCTGGTGACTTGTGCGGCCAGTGACTGTGAGTGGAGTTAACGTCTCTCGCTGTGGCTACGGCAGCTGATTTCCAGTGTGAGCCCTCCCAGAGCTCGCCTTCCCTGTCACTCGGCTGGCAACATTCCACAAAATGACTGCTTTTAGCCTGGGCCCAGAGCAGAGGGGAGCCCCGCGTTCATGGCGGACGTGCAGTGCAAACTAGAAATAAACCTTTGTGGTTCTGAGCTATCAAGATCTCTTGTTATTTTTAGGGTCTTTTGTTACTGTAGCATAACCTAGTCCAATCCTAACAGTGACAGCACCGACGTCAACATCGCCATTCCCAGAAACCAATACTTTACAAGGCACTGTGAGGTCGACGGGGGGGAGCGTGGAGACATAAATCAGGCAGATCCTGGAGCTCCAATCTCTAGGGGCTCCCAATCTCCAGGCACAGACAAAGCCCCTCTAAGCTAAAGAGACAGTGGGAAGTGCCCCAAATGAGGGGCAGGGTAAAAACAGATCGGTCTGACCAGAAGAGACCAAGGAAGGCTTCTGGGAAGAGATGGCGCTGGAGTTGGCCTTAAAGGATGGGTTAGATTTGGGCATGTGGTAATGGGCAAGGCCTTCCTGGGAGAGGGAACAGCATGAGCAAAGTAGAGGAAGAGCAGACTGCACTAAAATGAAAGGTCTGGGAAGATCAGAAGCAAGAAACGGGCTAGAAGGCCCAGGTTATAGAGTGTTTTGATGACACATCCCAGACTCTAGAGACAGTGGAGAGTCCCAAGGTTTAGAAGCAAGGGAGCGACATGGCCAGTGTTTCGTTTTTGCCTCCTGGCAGCCAGAGCAGAGGGCAGGTAATACCAGGTGGGGAGACACAAAAACATGGCCTTTGGGGTTAGGGGAAGTGCTGCAATGTCCCAGGTGGGGCTGATGACGGCCACCGCCAGCAGAGGAACAGCTGGGAAAGGGAGTTCCAGGCTGATCCCCAGCAGTTGGGAAGAACAGGCAACAGGACTTGAGTCTGAACTCCCAGAAACAGACACAGGGAACCTCCCCACGAGGCCTGGGGTGCCACATGCAGGAAGACAGAGACGCCTGCACGTCGGGAGGAGGTAAGCCAGAGCTGGGCGGGGAAGGGCAGCGGAGAGGAAGGCGGTGGCAACACTTCTAAGAACACGCTGGGCATGGCAAACGCAGAGGAGGGCGTAGACGGAAACGAAGTCTGGGGCCAGGACGAGGCAAGGCCTCTGGCTGAGGAACGTGGACTGTACTTCACAGACCAGGGCTTGCAACTTGTGCCCACAGTCACTCTGACCCACAGATGCGTTTTGTTTGGCAGATTTCAAAAGGTGAATTAGTTGCCAACATCTAAAGCCAAAAGAATTTACATCAAATTTTCATTCTGGTGTGTGATTTGTCCAGAGATGTGGCAGCGCTGTGCCTGTAACCCCACCTAGCCACCACCGCACGGCAGCTGGGGAGCAGCGCCCCCCGCGCATGCAGCGTGCCTTCTCCAGCTGGACGCGGTCCCGCCACCTGTCCCCTGGCTCATCTCTGTTACGCTACACGTTGGCCCCTGGGGGCATCTGAGTCTGAACCTGGCAGTCGTGCAGGGACCCCTGACGGGGAGCCCTGGCTCGTGCTGGAGACCCGAGGGGGAGAAATCGTTACTGAGATGCCAGATTCCACGGAGCACCTTGGGGCCCGGCCCTGGCCAGGAGAGGCAGGAGCAGGGGCCGTCTGTCACTGATTCGATCCTAACTGGGTATCTGCTCTGCGCAGGACCTGTGCTGGGACCTCCCTCCCGCAAGGCGGGAGAAAAGCAGACAGGCATTTAGCACACCAAGCAAGAAGGGCTGTGCTAGACCCGCCAGGGCTGTGGAGTCCCCACGCGTGGGGATTCGCTGGGTCCACAGAAGGTTCCAGGCATTTGACTTAAACAGGGTCTTGAGCAATGGGTAGGGTTTTGCCACATTAGAAATAAAGAGAAGAACTCTCCAGACTAGACCTGCACGAGCAAAGGCAAGGGCTAAGGAGCTCAGTCTCTCCTTGAGGGCAGAGGGGAGCCCTCAGCCAGGGAAGGGGCAGAGTTGCCAGGCTCCATGCTCCCACCCTGGTCCTAGCCCCGACCGTCAAGGACAGGAACTCACCAAGGGTCTGCTGGTTGCGGACACCACCGATCACCACGCAGATCTCGGCAGGCACGTCGCCGGTCCCATCCTTGCCAACCGCCTTCTTCTCCTCCTTGGCCTCGCCCTGCCAGATCACCTCCTGGATGTAGTCATCGGGCAGCTCCGTCTTCACCTTCACCTCGGTCATCGTCCCCTGCTCGGCACTCAGCGAAGCCTCAGCCGGCACCGGCTCTGGGCCCTCCACCTTGGTGCTCTTCTGGCTGCGCTTCAAGCGCTCCCTGGCAAAGAAGAGAGGCTGCTCAGGGTGGACCCCAGACCCACCCCCAGACCTACGTGGGAGCCTACCAGCCCAGGACACCACAGAGACATGCAAGGCTGTGTATATAGTGAACGGCACGGCCCCCAGCCCACTTAGCCTCCTGCACGCCCCCATGGCTGCCCTAGGCTCCTCTAGGGAACCCTGGGGCTCCAGGGAGCCCAGTTTGAAAACCACTGGCCTAGTATGGCTCCAACTCCATCCATTTTACAGCTGGGGAAGCTGAGGTCTAAAGAGGAATACAGATGTGCCCAGCTGCCTCACCTGCCGCTTCTTTGCACTAATCACAACTGGAGTTACAAGAGACCTAAAACAGCACTTCTGGGTGGTTGAAATCAGTTCTTGTCAAACCTCGACGTGCTTATAAACCGGGTGGAGATCTTGACAAGATGCAGATTCTGGCATAGCCGGTGCGGGGTGAGGCCTGAGATCCTGCATTTCTAACAAGCTCCCAGGTGGGACCAGCGCTGCCGGTGCTCAAACCGCACTTTAAGCAGCAAGGGCTTAAGTGATTTGCTGAACACCAAGTGTCTAGTGCCGGTCCCTTTGTTCCCAGGCAGGAGGGCTTGAGATTGCATCCCAGCTCTTCCCCGCTCCTGTTTTATACACAGGGAAACTACAATGCAACGGAAATCTCACTTGGCTCAAGTGTCACGGAGCCAATGCTTCAGCATGTAGGTGGCTCTTCAAACATCAGAAAATATCAAGATAATGAGGTCAGTATTGAAGTGAGCATGGCACATGTCACTGAACCTTCGTGACAGGGACGCTGGGCCTAGAGCAGAGCTGTGACTGCTCAGGCCATACACAAAATTGGAGGCAGGCCAAGGCATGACACCGGGTCCCTACCATCCACTCCTGAACCATTCTCCTTTCAACATGACCCGTGTAATCCGAAGGGCCCCACATCCTGCTGGCAAGGGGAAGTGTCTCCATGACTGCTGTTTCTGAGGTGGGGAAGCCAAGGCACACACATACAGGGAAACTGAGTCACACTCCAGTCCTGGGGAACGCTGCACTGACCACATCCAGCCCTCTCCCCTCCTCCGGAGAAGAACACGGACCATGAATTCCAAGGCTCAGCCTCCAGGCGCACTCAGGCAAGGCACACCGGCACCAACTGGAGCACAGTGGAGGTGCCGGGGCAGGAGGCAGGGACCTGGGCTCTGACCTTGGACCTACGTGGGCTTGCTGTGTGGCCTTGGGCAGCATCTGTCACACGAGAATGGGTTTTACCATGTCTGCTGTCCCTCCCAGTTTCAGCTCTCTCCAAGGGTGGAGAAAAGTTGGGAAATCGAGCGAAGAGAGAGAGGGAAGGCCTCAGCTAACAAGAGGAGAGAAAAAGGCCACAGGGAAGTATTATGGACTGAATTATGCTGCTCCCCGAAATTCATGTTGAACCTCTAACCCCCAGTGTGACTGTATCTGGAGACAGGGTCTTTAGGAAATAACTGAGGTTAAATGAGGTCATTTGGGTGGAAGCCTCATGATATGATTAGTGGCTTTGTAAGAAGAGAGAGACTGCTCTGTCTTCATCTGAGGACACAGGAAGAAGCTAAGCTGGCCCTCTACAGCCAGGAAGGGGCCCTCACCAGATCCCGACCATGCTGGCACCCTGGTCATGGACCTCCAGCCTCCCGAACTGTGAGCAAACACGTTTCTGTTGTTTAATCGAGCCACCCAGTCTACGGTATTGTCACCGCAGTCCAAGCAGAGTAACACAGGAGGCTGGGATGCAGACAGATGGAACAGGAGCAAAAAGGCATGCTGGAGAAAACCAGGCAGCCACTTCCTCACTGTGTGCCTTGAGCTAGACACCTGACCCCTGGGCCTCAGTTTCCCCATCTGCAAAATGGAGCTAACAGGGCTGTCACGCCCATTTTAGTTAACTAATATAAGGAAAGCTCTCAGCACAGTGTCTGGCCTGTAACTGCTCTCGAGACACAGTCACTGTTACCATTATTAATGACACACTTCGAAAATCTTTGGCACCCAGGGTGCCCAGGGACGCCACCTCCTCGTGGGTCTGCCTCGTCCGGGCCTCCGTACACTGTCTGAGCGTTTGCCCTTCTGTGCAGTGGGAAATAAAAAACTGTATGATTCAATCACCTCAGAATTCATTTCCTTAATTTATTTAGGAAACACTTAAATAGAGCCTCCCATGTGCCAGGCGCTGTTCTGACAAACTAACTCCTCTCATCCGCAGTAACAACCCTGGGAGGGAAGTCTTGGTGTTACCTCCACTTTACAGTCCAGGAAACTGAGGCACTGAGCGGTGAAATAACGTGTCCAAAGTCATACGTGTGGTAAGAGGTGAGCCCGGGACCTGGCGCAGCCATCCTGGCTCTTAGCTGCGACGCATCTGCACCGGGAGAGAAGCTTGCGGAGGGACGCTCCCCCCACCCACAGTCACGGCCGCCCCACGTCACCCACGCTTGACCTCCAGCATCCAGAAGAGAGTTGAAATCAAGGTGCTCGCGGGCGAGCAGGAGGATGGGGCTCCCTGGCTGTGCTGCCTCTGTGGGGGAACAGTATCTAGAGCTAGAGCCACCCCCTACCCCATCTCGGGGGACACGGCCCCGCCTGGCTGCAGGGTCACCACAGGGCAGAGAAGCCTCCGAGATCTGTGAGGCCCCAAGAGATAAGCAGAATCGGCAGGTCTGACAAGGTCACGAGAGGACAGCTGTGGCATTAGAGAGGGAGGAGATCCCCGCCGGCCAGCAAAAGGGAATGTCCTGGGGGTGGAGAGTTCCCACCGGGATAGGCATTAGAGCCTCACGTGATGTCATGAAGTGAGACGGGACGGGTACCACGTTTGGAAGTGAGATCATCCCAGGGTCAGATCTGGGAACTGCCATTCTACAGTTGCTGGTTCCTATGTAAGTGACTTCACCCCTCAGAGCCTCAGTCTTGACATCCACAAAATGGGGATAAACATGGTACGTACCCACAGCACCACGATGCGGAGACAACAAGGTAATGTCTAAATAGGACCTGGAACGCTGCTACTGGTGGCGATGTTCTCCGGGTACCTACTACCTCCATCTTGGGGGCAGGGGAGGGGAGTGTGCAGAGGACACAAGGGAAGGATCTTACATGGCACAGGTGTCAGTGCATGGGCTGTGAAGTTAGAAGGGTGGGGGCTCGAATCCCAGCTCTACCACTTTTGGTAATGGGATATGGGCCTGTGAGGACCCTGCCAAGAGCCGCTCGTGGAGCAGAGGTGGCCAGCTGATGGAAGCTGGTAGTGAACCATGTTTATCAACATTCCAGCTGGGCGGTCAAGGAAGCTGCTGACATTCCTACTCCCTAGTGGAGACCACGTGGGTGCCAATGGTCCGTCAGTCCTTGAGGCTTGCTGGGCAGAGGGACGGGAGTGGAGGAAACAGAATGGGCCCCCTACCCAGAACCCCCTCCCGGCCGACATTCTGAAGCTCAGCCTGAGGCCTTGAGGGCACCTTACCATCCCATCTGAACAGACTCGGTGTCCCTCCCCACTCTCGAGGTCCTCACCAGCACCACGGCCCCGTGCTGGGGAAGGAGGAGCTGCTGGAGCCAGAGGCTGGACAGAACTCTCATCCGCCCACCCACGCGCCCTGCGACCTTGAGCAAGAGGCTGTCCTCTCTGAGCCTCAGTTTCCTCGTCTGTTAAGGGAGGACCATGACCCTTGCCAGCTCTAGGGGTGGGAGATGATGCTACAAGGAGCCCAGGTGGGGCTGTCCCCACAGATGGCAACTGCCATTATGACAGTGACACTGGTTCACGATGATATCCTCACCTCTGGGAAGCCTTTCCGACTTGCTTGGGTCTTCTTTGAACAGGTGACTCTGACAGCCATCCTCCCCTGGTGTTCTCCTGGACTCATCTCGGCTCACTTGTTACCTCTCTGCCCTTCCAGTCTAGCTTCTACCTCATTGCCTGGTTTTATTTCCTTTGCAGCCCTGGCCGCTCTCTGAAAATACCTGGTCCGTTAATTGACTCACCAAATTGCCCTGAGATCAGGTGGGGTCCTTAGGAGTCCTGTGCACTGCTGTACTCCTGGCATCCAGTAGGTACATGGTACTCCATAAGTACTGTATTTGCTGAATGACCAAAAGAATACCTGCCTCCTGGTATGCATAACCCCGTGGGGCCCACTGAACAGCTGAGTGGATCTTGGGACGGGACTGCAGAGTGGACAATCATCCTTGCAACAGGCCCAGGCACAAATGCATCACAGGAAAAGTCCTCTCCAAAGGCACAGAGTACAGAGCAAAGCCGGAACTCGAACCCATGTCTCCTGACATCCCATCCTTTGTCCCTTCCACTGAACTACCAGCCTCAGGTCACCTGGAGTGCCTCTAACGCCTAGGATTTGGGGGTGGGCACAGGGGAATGGCTACCTCCCAACGGAAAGCAGCTTCCCCTTAGTTGCTGCACCCACATTACCCACCCCGAACGAATCAGAGGCCACAAGAACAATGCAGCTGCAGCTTATGACCAGCCAGACTCCCCACTTAGCCCACAGAAGGTGGGGGCTACGTCAGCCACCCTCTCTCGCCCACGGGCACGACAGCACATAACCATCCACTCCCTTAACCCTGAAGCCCTTAAGTCTTTGCCTCACCGAGGACTCGGGCAACTTCTCTTCCCCCGACTTCCACGCTTTAGATTTACAAGCCCAAATGTTGCTTTTCTCAGATGCTTTGCATTTAATTAGGTGTCCTAATAACAATGGCATTGCAGAAGTACTTATATCACTTTGAATTAGTGGTGCAGCTCCTTCTAACTTCTTTAAAAAATTTTTTTCATATATCATTTTTTAAAATAGAGCTCATTATTTTAATTATATCCATTTAAATGTACAGTGGAGCCCTTGGATATTCTCAGCACGAATCATTAGGTATATTAGTGAAAAAGCACTTGGAATCTATCTACATGCTGACACTCCGTAATCTATTCTATTTGTGTCGCTGTAAAAT